TACGTCAAATCTGGCCCTGGCCGTAAAAATTCAAGTTAAACTCTTCAAGTCCGTAAATGTCAGTTTTTTTTAAAAAAAGAGGTCCGTTAAGTCCGTAAATTGTACAATATAATTTGGAGAATTTTAGAGAAATTACAAATGTAGTTACAAATGATTGCAGAATAAATCAATTATTTTCAAAAGTAATCAAATTCTTTCGCACACAGTAATTCAATTATGTTCAAAATTTTTTAAAAATTCTCGTGGAAATTTCAATTATTTTTAAAACTTTTTAAAAAAATTCTTGGCAAAATTTTAATTCTATTCAAAAATTTTCCTCAATTCATGTATTTTCATAAATAATTAAACTCAAATAATGCTGAATTTCAATTATTTTTAATACAATTTTTATGCAATTCTTCAAAAAGTGTAATTATTTTTAAAACTTTCATTAAAATTTTTCAAAAGGATTCAAATAATTAAAAATTTGTTGATAAAATTCTTTATGAGAATACAATAAATTGTTCTCAATAAATGATTTTTTTTTATTTAAATAATTGAGTTCTAGTAGAATTTACTAATAAAAATTGATTTATAAATGAATTTCAGAAAAAATTTTAAATTATAATTGAATATTAAAAGCATTATAGCGTGAATTTTTAGAAATAATTGACTTTGAAAAGGTTTCATATTAAAATGTTTGAAGATTTTAATTTTTAGTACTTTTAACTAACAATTCTGTAGAAGAATTAATTTTTTTGAAAAATTTTTGTCAATTTTTCTTGAAATAATTTTTTTATGTTTTTTTTTCTAATATATTTTTAATTGAAGAATTACTGAATAATTGAAATTTTGTAAAATTGAATTGAAAACAAATGGAAAAAAACTAATATTTATTTTTACTAATTAATTTAGAAAAATACGAAAAATAGGATATGAAGTCTGACTAAATCTTGTTTTTACTACTTAATTTAGAAAAATACCAAAAATGAGATATAACGTCTGACCAAAACATGTTTTTACTACTTAATTTAGAAAAATACAAAAAATAGGATGTAACGTCTGCCCAAAACATGTCTTTACTACTTATTTTGGAATAATAATTTGAATAATATATTACCTACATCCCAATGGGAAATTTACAACTGGCGTAGTACTGCGCCAGCACTGGCAGCACTGGCGGCAAGGCTGAGAGCCAGCACTGGCTTGACACTGGGATGATAACGCCGTCTGGTGCTGCCGAAGTACTGTCTGTCAGTGCTGCCAGACAGCGCTGGCGCAGCACTGGACCAGTGCTGGCTGAAAATATTGCCGCAATAAATGCCGTATTGTTATTAATTAGTCGTAAATTCATAATTATAAATAATTTAACAACAAAATGGTAAATAATATTAATAAATAGTTATTATTCATAAAATATTTCTCTTCTTAAAGAAATTGTATTAAAGATGGAGACTAACAATATGGATGTAGTAAATGAAGTAGAAAAAAATTGTTTATAACATTTAAAAATTAAATAATAAACAATTACAGTAAGTGTGCATTAGATTTTCATATTTTAGTACCTAACGATTGGAATCTAGAAATATCGCAAACCTATGAAAATAAACAAAATTGCTGACGAGGGGAATCGAACCTATGACCTACGGACTAACAGACTAACGCTCTAACCACTATGCTAACGACACATGTGTACAGTAAAGTATTAACATCTCAGTATCATTCAGACATACAATTATTGAGTCAAAGATGAGAAAAAAATAGGGATACGTTAGAAATAATAAATTGAAATAAAATAAATTAAACTACATTTTTAATAATTAATTTAAATTACTTTACTTATTGCATTTAACATTTTACGTAATTCTTAAATTACGTGGTAATTTTTTAATAATTTTTTATTCATAGTAAGAAGTATAATAGTATTTTAATAGGAACCAAATTATTATTGAGATTAAAGTTTAAATTTTGTTTATAATTTTAATTTGTTTAAATAATTTATTATTTACAAAATTAGACAATTGTGTTAAATTGTTATTATTAAATTTAATAAGAATAAAAAATGAACAACTGAAAAGTAAAATATTAGTTTTTTTCAATAAATTTATATTTATAAACATTTATAAACTTTTTTTATAATTTTTTTCAAGTTTATGTCAAAAAAGCAATGTTGGCAAAGAGCGTCATGAACAATTTTTCTATACTCAGCCAGCATTTGCCGCCGTGGCTTGTCCAAGCTTTGGCAAAACAAAAATTCTGTACTGCGCTAGCACTAATTGTGGAGGCTCGGCTAGACTACGCCGAACAATCGTCTGAGTACTAAGCCAGTGGTGAACATCGGCACTACACTGGCATTTCCCATTGGGATATATTAAAATAATATTTTGGAATACGAAAAATAGAAAATGAAGTCTGACTAAAATTTATCCTTACTACTTATAATTTTAAAAAATACGAAAAATAGGATATGACTTTTTTAAGAATTATAAAAAGTAATTGATTTAAAGAAGAATGTTAGTTAAAAATTCTGGATAATAATAATTGAATTGAAATGATGAAAATAATTGTGAACAAGTACAATAATATTCTTATAATATAAAATAATGATTTTATTACTGGGTCATCTTTAATTATTGTAAAACATAAAGAAATTGATTACTCCGAGTCTTTGACTCGGAGTCATCTGTTTCTTCATGTATTATAGTTATGAAAAAATTGAATTTATAGTTTTAAGTAAAATGTTTTTTTATTTGACTCAGACTGGTTATATTTTTGTCAGTAATTGATCCGCAATTTTTAATTTTTGGTCCGTAAAGTCCGTATTTGTAAAGACTTTCACTGGATCGAGCCCTGTATCTCCCAAAAATAATTAACGTTTCATATAACGTTCATATCGATTTCAACTGATTACTTGGATTAAAAATTATATTATTAATTTAATTAAATGGAAATTGAATTAGGATTATTTATGCAATATTTCATAACAATTTGGTATAGTAAAAAGAAAGTTTTATTATTTAATATAATTCTGAAATTCAGCACTGCAATAAATATGTAAGGAGAGAAAAAGTTATAATATATTATAAAATAGTTAAAGGAAAGATTTTTTAAAGTAGTTTATTTCATCATATGTTGCTTGCACTATAATTTAGAAACATATTAGATTCAATCTACTAAGTATACTTACTATCAATTACAAAGCTTGGGTATAGCTAAATTGAATAACATACAAACGACTGACGCACACTGTGGTCGAATAAGGATTCACAGCTGCCGCATAGCTTTAGTTATTAAAATTGAATGATAAAGAAGATGAGGCAATTAAATTCATTTCTATGTTCACAAAATAAATTTTAACCAAAGTTTAATTCATTTTTCTTCTTACATCAATTGCTTGATTGACTTTTAAAAATAACGTTTATATCTCTTATTATAAGTTTACACTGTAAAAAATATATTTTACTTTTAATCCACTTTTGACTATAAAGACTTTTAAAATGTCAAAGTGCCCATAGGGTAATCATAATATGAAATTGAAACAAAAAGCGTATACCACATTATATAGTTTCAAAATGATATTATGATTATGATTATAAATTACCTTCAAAATAAGCCCAAGAACAAATTTAAGAGAAAATTGCAAATTTAACCATTTTGGGCTCATGTTTTGCGTAATTTTAATGGGTTTTATTGTCCTAAAGAGAATAAAATATTTAAGTCAATACATTTTTAAAGAAATCTCTTTTTGCAGTAACGAAAAACGGACTGGACTGTCAATTGAGGGCAGTACTGTGTATATAAAGAGTAATTCTAGATTTATTTTACCCAATATGAAATAAAATGATAAAAAATGAAAATCGAACATGCTAGTGGTGTAGACATTTGTGCTTCAGTGCCGGTCCAAACGGCTCTTGCACCGAGTTATATAGGATTCCATTAAATTTGCCTGTAGCGACTCAAAGTTTGACCACGAACTGCCTGTGGCAATGAATACACACATTCACACAAATGTATGCTTATTCGCATGTACGAATGCTTCTGGACTCTTTCTCCCTCTCTCCCTCTCTCTCTCTCTCTCTACACAAGAGAGTCTGAGTTGGAAAGATAATTATGTTACGTGGTGACTGAATTACGCCACGCTTGTGAATCTATATACATATAAATTGGGAAATGTGACCGTACACCATATACATATTATATATATATATGTATTTCTCCAGTAATTTTCGAACCCCTAAATCAACTAAATATCTGGTGTCTAAAGTAATATCTCAGGTGTTTGTCTGCATAAAATAAAGGGTACTCAAAGGATGGAAATTAGCAAATTAATAACTTATCTATATCAGTGTCAAATATCTTGGAAGAGATCACTTTTAATTCACTGGGTAATTATATTATAATGAAAAAACAGAATAAAATCTTGGCATCAAATTTTCCAAAAAATAGTGAGATAATTCAATGAACTTGGATATAATTAATTTAATAAATTCTAGGAGTTGGCTTTCCCAAGCTTATTTGAATAGCATGATAATATTTCTTTCGAATATTTCACTGAAACAAATGAATTGCATATTTGAACCAATAATTTCAGTGTTTAAAGAAAATACAATTCAACTGGCTTAAATAAAAATTGATAATGGACAATTCATTTCATATTGTTATTCCCTTAATATCGCGCACCGTCAAATATTATCTCAATTTCATTTTACTGGAATGTCACTGTCGTGATATTAGCCAAAATAAGATGTCCATCAACCTGTATGTAAATTTTTCATTTCTCTTTTGGCATGTTGTGCGTTGAACAACAGATGAACACAGTAGAGTGCACTTCGTTCAACTTTGTGTCGTGATTCAATTCGAGAATAATTATACCTACTAAAGCCAATTTCTTTGTTAGCCTTAAGTGAATGATTTCTATTTAAATTTGATTGCATTTCTAGAAAGTTTAAATAAAAGAAAGAATTTTGAATTCGATTTAGACAGTTGCTTCCACAGAATATAATTATAATCTTCCATTTTGAATATTTGATGTCAGTTATTGGGGAAAGTAAAAATACGATCAGCAAGAAAAATAGGGGTTTGAGAGAGAGTGGTAAAAAGAAGAGGAACAAAAGAGGGAGAAGCGCCGTCAGAGCTGATATACAGGGATTCACTCTATGTATAGATACGATTTACACTAGGACGACTATCAGCCTCGCCCGCTCATCGTGGCGCGCTTCCGAGAACCCCTTGAAAGTAGGGGATGTTTGTCGTACACGTTATTTGCCCAATAAAACCACGTGGTGCCACCCCCGCTTTTCCTTGTGATACTTGCCGTGGACTCCGCCCTCGCGATTTCTTCACGTCTGCGCGGACCGCCTATCGCGCACGTTTTTTGCCTCCGATGCACAACACAGATCAGCTTCGGACCGAGTCCGATTCACTGGATCTTGGCACGCCGCGATACAGTCATCACTCAACTTTCACCGGTCCATCACATTTTTCTACAACAATCTTCTTAAAAATTTAAATATCTTCTCGCGAGTGCGGACTTGATAGCGTAAATCCAATTCTCTTCAGTCGAGAAAAATATATTTGCCCTGTGATCATAGTAATAGGTAAAACAAACCATTAAACAAAACTTGACCAAGTTTTCTAGTGTCTGTGATATTAAGGTGTTTCGTTATCAAAAGTTAATAACAAGTTTGCTAGTTTTTAATCACTATAGAACTCGCATTATTCTTAAAAGCATAATCCCACAACTATAGACATGAAACTTACCTACTGTCAGTATTGAATTCCATCTCCATTCTAAACTTTTCGTCTAATAAATTTGGTCTGTTGGAATTGGAAATAGTGAGCTAATAAATCAGTGTTTCTAATTCTGGAATTTGATACTGTCTGTAGAACAGTGAAAAAGAATTGGAGGAGGTCCGCGAAAGTGCGGAGAGACTGGTAAAGTGTTGTTCAGTCACGAGTCCAGGATTCTCACCCCCGGAGGTGGTACCGTCTCGCCCGGAGGCGCGGGGCCTCCAGCGAGTCCAACTTCGGGACATTATCTCCCACCGGCACATAGCCCACCTTTGGTCAAGGTAAAACTTGCACACGTTTTCTGCATTCTTTTGCTTTCCTGTTTTTTACCCTCAAATTTAATTCTTGTCAAAATCATTCGTCTCTTGAAAATCTTTCAAAACTCTCTTCAATTCACGTGTCAAAAACTCCACTTCATTATAAATTAGATATAGGAAATGCAAGTTTTTCATTTTTCATTTTTCACTTGAGCATATTAAGCTCTGTACTTTCGCTGTAAAGTTAAGAAACTTTATTCGTATATCCAACTATCGTGATGAAATATTTAGGTAAATTAGTTATATAACAAATCCGATTAACTTTAACTCCAGCCTAAAGTTTCCGATGAAGCAATTTTGGTTACTTAATCTTGAAAATCGCGTCAGAAATAGATGTGCAGCAATCAGTTTGATAAAATTACAGCATTACAATGAAGTCAAATAATCATTTTCATAAACTGAAATCATTCTGTTAAAGGTAATTTGTGTCTCAAGAACAACACTTTAACTATAAAGTCAATTACTTATCAATAGAATTTTCTCATTTAACTTTTGATGAATGTATAATCACATTTGTTATTCAGTGCGTTTTTGTACAAAAATTACTTTAATTAATTAACACTTTATGTATTTTGAACTATTAATCCTAAAATCCTTTTATTTTCTAGACATTGTGCAGATGATTAAAATTCTAGATCACGGACAGCAATTGACAAAGATTAAATACTTTGAAATAACCTTTGGACATCTTTGCAAAGAATTGTGCAACCAATTAAATGACAATGACTATAAAAATTGTGAAAGATAGTACTTGATGTAACATATAGATAGGGAATTTTAGGTATTGTTTCAGTTCATGTTGATGAGCGAAGGAGGAGTAACACTCGAGATTATGGGGTGCCCCAAAAATATAAGAGAATGAGAAAAGCGGGGAAACAAGTTGGGTCGACGATGATGAGTATAAGGGCGGCTGTCAGTGTTCGTTTTCGTCAGACAGCAGCCAGAATCTCTCCGGGGACCTCGGCAGCTGTCTGCGGCTAAGCTCTCGCCAGAAAGCTCGTCAGAACTTTCCGAGCGCGATTTTGTGGCCTCCACTTCTTTTCAACCTCTTTTCGTCTCTCTGTTTCTCCTTAAAAAGAAATTTAAAACAAGTTTTACTTAAAGTGAGAAAAAAATTCCCCTACATTATGTCAGTAAATTTTCCACAATTGCAGACAATATATAAATTATTAACTTAATAAAACAAGTAATGTTAACTAAATAAATACACTACATATATGTATGCCACGCGTAAACGATGCAGCGTTCGAAAAATGCTGCCTATAGTAAACTAAATTATCAATTCAATGCATTCAATTTCAATGTATTCAAACACTTAAATTACTTATTATACATATATATATACATATGAGGGAGAAAAAAATCGTGCCTTCTCACCAATAATTTTCGAGTGAGTAATACTGTAAAATAATGTTTTGCGGCCCTGCGGGTAGATTCAACACGCGCCCGACACTTTCGCTCTGATTAAACTTAATTCATCCCAACAAGAGTATATGAAGCTACAGAAGATGTTAGTGAAGAAGTAAACGTGGTAGCTGGCGGCTCGCGCTGTCTGCCGACCAATCCTGCCAAGTTAACCTCATTAATAAATTAATTAGATATTATTGTGTTGGCAGTCAGGGCGGCAGCTGCGGGCCTTCACTTTATATATATATATATATATATATATATATATATAGATGTATATATAGAGAGCTCTTCTTATTGTTATAAAATGGAGAAATGACAACAGCGACGAACGACGAACGACCCGCAGATGATGCTTAGGAATACGTACATAAAGAAGGGTTAAGACCCATGATGTCACTCTTTTCTCATATAGCTCTTCTCTTTCAAATTATAATCTTTTAATATATATATGTCTTTGTCAGATATGTTACTCGCAACCCGCACAATATTTTTTCTCCTCTTTCCTAATTTTTAATATATATACTTGGAATTTTATATAGACAGAAATGACCATTTAATCAAAATAACATAACATAATATTCATCACAAGATCATTAGAAAAATAACTTTGAATAATAGTAACCAAGTTACTAACATGGGATCATACTCTAATGTCCTTCTTCTTTTATAGCCAATTCGTAAATACAACTTAACCTATAATTATCGCCTCTAATGGAAAAAAATAAAAGTAGATTAGGTACTAATTATAACTGACGTTAGACGCCATCATAAAACCGTTTACGTTCAATTTTTTGATTATTCTATTCTCTATTAAATACCAATGGCTGTCAAATGGCATTATTTCAATCAGCCAATTTAAGGTTGTTAGGATATAAAGATTGAATTTCTTGATCGAAACTTTTGAGTCAAGTAAACTGACCTGAGTGTGTGATGGCATAGCAAATAGATGCCTCTGAAGAAAAACAATTATTTTGAATTATCATTTACAACATCTTGCTTCAACTAATGCAAATTGACAGATCATCAATTTATATCAATAAACTTGCGTTTGGAAAAATGATTTCGTGAATAAAATTTGATTACGCTTAGTTTTATTTTTAATTTCTCTACTTTTACAGTAGTTTAAAATTTTAAATTTTAATCAAAGATTATACTGATGAAATAATGAAATGTAGTACATTAAATGATACAGTAACAATAAAATTTTAACTGTCCTTCGCAGTGGAATTCTAAATTTAAAGTTTAATCAATACCCGCAAGTAGCAAGTTTTTTAATTATCCGGTAATATTAAATATTTAAAATGAATACTACTGCATTAATTGTGTAATTATTACACATATAAAAAGAATTTCAATTAGGTGTAAGTCTAATGATAAGAAATGGAAAACTTGTCTTTTTAACCGTTAGATATGCATTTAATTGCAATATGCTAAAAAGATGACTTCTTTTCGCCCTAAAATAGGACTTTTGGACTTACTGCGTGTGCCACTGTCAGGATACACAGCAGGGTCGGTAAAAAAGTAATTTAGTTGAGCTGGAGCCAACAAACGTTATACTTTTCTCAATGTGTCTGAAGTAATGTGAATCACATATGGTTCATTATAGAGTAATGACAAAAAGAACATGCAACATTATCATTGCGCATTAAGCTGTAGGGGGTCAGGATTAGGATGTCGGCCATTACCGCGCGTCACTGACCGTTTATTCTGCGCCGTGCGCGTTGTGGTGACTTCCTCCAGACGGATGTATGTATGTCTACATAACTGGAGGATGAGGCTGAGGACGTTTGCCAAGTGATTCGGTTGTCCTTCCGGGCGATCATCAATTCCGTCCCTTGAGGGGAAGTAGCCTTCCTCTCTCCAACCAGGAAAAGACTCAAGCGGCTAGGCTACCATTTCCATCTTAACAAATAAAGAAGCCGCGGCAAATGAATCGACACATACTCTCTAAATCTGAATCAGGGAAATTTCACTGAAAATCAGTTACAATGAGAACCTTAGGGCTGCTCCCTTGTAACCGCGCGCTCGGCGAGTTCTTCATATTGAAATATGGTTCAGACGTACAATATTGCTATTTCTTACACTCTCAAGCAATGATCAGTCAAATTTTACGTCAGACATTGAAAACCAATTTATAAGTATATAATATATATTTATAGAATGACAACTTTCCTGAGACAGCAGAGTGTTGATCAAATAAACACAAAAATTTTAGCTTTAACTCTTAAGCGTTTTTATATATATCCTTAAATGTTTAAACAATTTTAATTCCTATATAATGTTATGTCTACCCGAGTCGAAATTTAAGCCCTACTTTCACCCTGAATTTTCAGGGTCTATTGAGTGTTAGGAGTAGTAAAGTAGGGTCTAATTCTAATACGATTAGACCCTACTTTGACTCCCAAAATAGGCGGAAATTTGCCAATCTTCCATTTAGAGAAGCAAAGGAGGGTCTACTTCTAAGAAACCTATACCGTACTTTTAAACCTCGTAGACCCTACTTTCATACTCCTAGACCCTACATTCTAAAAGAAAATTTTAAATTATTTTTTAATGAATTACTTGAAACACTGCAAATGCAAAAAGTACTCCAAATTCATAAATACTGATGTGTTTTATAGCGTCTATATACACTTCGTGTATATAGACGCTATAAAACACATAAAATTCCACTTTTACTCATCCCTAGTGCTTCAATTGAATCTGAGCAAATCTTCAAATTTTTCTTTTTCTAATTGTAGGGTCTAGGAGTATGAAAGTAGGGTCTACGAGGTTTAAAAGTACGGTATAGGTTTCTTAGAAGTAGACCCTCCTTTGCTTCTCCAAATGGAAGATTGGCAAATTTCAGCCTATTTTGGGAGTCAAAGGAGGGTCTAGTTTTTAAAAATTGTATTGAAATCAGACCCTACTTTACGACTGCTAAACCTGAATAAGCCCTACATTTTCAGAGGCTAAGTAGGGTCTAAATTTCGACTCGGGTACCCAGGTGCGAAAAGTTGGTCGGGCCATGGTCGCGCCGACCAAGTGGATAGTCGTGCCGACCTTGGCAACCAAAGGTCGGCCGAACTAGCGAATTGTAACACCCGCCGTCCAGTGGCTGACATGGTCGGGCCGACTATGGCTGCCAAAGTCGGACCGACCAGGGGTGCCAAAGTTTTGCCAACCATGTGAAAGAATGTCGGCTTGACTTTGGCAACCATGGTCGTGCCGACCTTGGCAGCCAAAGGTCGGCCGAACTAGCGAATTGTAACACCCGCCGTCCAGTGGCTGACATGGTCGTGCCGACTATGGTTGCCAAAGTCGGGCCGACCAGGGGTGCCAAAGCTTTGCCGACCATGAGAAAGAAGGTCGGATTCACTTTGGCAACCTTGGTCGTGCCGACCTTGGCAGCCAAAAGTCGGCCGACCGATTGCAAAAAATTATTAATTATTTATTATTATTATTAATTATTATTATTCATTATTTATTTGTTTATTGTATACATCTTAACACTAAACGCAATCTTACACATAAATACAAATTAAAATTTCTAACGCTCGCAGGAATCGAACTCG